CCAGGCCACGCTGGACGTAGCAGCCCTTTTAAGAAATCATTTTTTATTAATTTATATCTAAGACCTCCTTTTCTATGTCCAATTCGTGTTTAATTAAATTAAGAACTACATGTATTAAACGCATAGGTAGTTACATAATCATTGTAATTACTAACTGCAGGATTATGACTTGAATGCAAATTCACCTAACACTGAAAAGCAATACAGTATTAATCAATGAAATTATGTTAAAGGCCATAGAAATCTCATATATTATTTCTGCCAACACCTGTGGTGATCTTATTTATAGTATTAAATATATTAATCTAGAATCTCAGATTGCCGAGGGGTTGAGATCATCAAGATTGGTGCAGCAAGTTGAGGGTTCGAAACCCACAACTGTTGGCAATTTTCTGTTTGAACTTGTCAGGCCAACCTGGCTTAATCAATACCGACTCCATTTTTTATATTAGGATCTTATATATATTATTTAATATTACTTGATATTATTTTATATTACATTTATTTATATGATTAGACTCGAGGACCAGCCGAGGACTGCCCATTTGTCGAGTGCCATCTTGATCTATAGTTTCAAGTGCCTTAGCCGGTAGATCAAAAACATATATAATATAATATCAATATAAACGTGGTGTTAAGGTCCAATGATAATTAATGGAAGATTGTAGCCATTAAAACATGAAGATTAAGTAAGAAGATTAAGTTACTCGTGTAAAAGAGAGTATACTTCTACTTCACAAATTTTCCTTTGTGGTTTTACCTAAAAAATCTTTTGTCCTAAAAATATCGAAACATAGGCACTCTTTTTTTCAATATTGCTTCTTAGTCTAAAAATTTAGCATACATTTTCGTACAATTTTTTATGACAATAACTGCCCTTTTCCCAATTTGAAGAACCTTACCGGTAATGGTAATAAGAACCCAATTTGAAGAACCATTTGTTTCTGTAATTCGTACTGGGATCTGACCGAATAATTTTGTTTATGACTCTCAACATGTAATCTCATTACAGTGATATTATGTTCTATAATTCAGGTAATGTTTCTCACAATTTCATAAAAATGTTCAACGGCTGCGCTCCAAGCAATCGATGGAACAAAATCTTGCCCCAAAATCTAGATTTAATCTCCCTAACCTCAGAAAATCAGGCAGAAATGTAAGCCTCCTTCTATTATTTCACGTGAACCAAAATTCCTTCAAAAATTTCCGGGTACAGAAATCTTGCCACAAATTGCGACCTACGTTTGTTCTATTTTACTATCTTCGTCGTACGATCAACGTATAATATTTAAATTTAAACTGTTATAGAGGCAAGTTATAGTATCATCTGGTGCATATATATATATGAATGTAATTATTTATCCCTTGCCTTAGGCAATTTAAAAACAATTGGCGTAGAGAGAAAGGGTCGGTGTAGCTGGAGCCATCTATTCAGTTCAAAATACAGTAGCTACCCATCAAAAATTGTTATATTGTCTTGAGTTATGAATGGAGGAATGTCCCATTATTTATCAATTTGAATGTATTAGATTGTTCCTTGGTGAACGTTGGCATAATAACGCACGATGCCTTTGATTATTGAATTAAACTGGATTTTGTGAACCTTGCATTCGAAGTCAGTTCATAAGAATTCATTGAATTAATTCATTTGTATCGTCAACTTATTCTTCTATAGTGAATGCTGAGGGAAACTTGACAGTTGCCTTTGGACAACCTTATATAATATGTTACTATAGTTTATTAAGCCTACTGTATCTATGTGTTCCTCTATCGCCTATTGTCTTTACTATGTATGATTCCAGAATTTATAATACCAAGTTCATGTTATTGAGTGAAGATTGGAGTTGTTACTGCGAGAAATGTCGCGCCTAGACATCGTTTGGTAGCCATTAC